CCTGTTGACGTCATTAACTATTTGTGTTCTGAAAATACCTATAGAGGAAAGAAACGTCTTTTTCATTTATTATTATAACCCATAAGTACTTTTGCTGTAGGCGAACGAATTTAAATAATGTTTAATGTGTGATGTTAATTTTTTGTTTTAAACACAGTTTAAATTACTGTTTAAAACACTTTATTTTAAGACATGTTTTATTTAGATTGTGTTTTAAACAGTATTTAAAACACGTATTTTAAAACACTTTCCCGTTTTCTGTACAAAATTTAATATTACTTTACATATGCCATCATCACATTAATCATTAAAAAAGGAACAAGTTGTGGCTAAATTAAAAATTGGTTGAATTTAAATGAAAATCATATTGTTTTATCCAGGATGGTAGTCAAATAATTAAACAACTTTATTTTTTTTTGTTACTTTTCGGTTTATTCAACCACCTTCAGACGTTTAAAGTGTAACTGGTTGTACACAGATATTAACTTAATTTTAACATTTTTTCATGTTGAACTACTGTACACAGTATACAATATACAGTATAGTATAAAGTATAAAATACAGTATAGTATAAAGTATACTATAGTTGAAAATGTAAGAATGTTTAAAATTAAGTTAATATATGTGTACAAGCAGTAACACTTTAAACGTCTGAAGATGGCGGAATAAACCGTAACGCAACAAAAAAATAAAGTTGTTCAATTATTTGACCGCCACCCTGGAAAAAAAATACAATTTAAAAGTAATGGTTAGAAATCTAACTTAAATTTGAATGAAAACGCAATTTTAAGTATTCGTCAAAGTTTCTAAAAACCAGTTTTACTTTAAAAATTATCATACGCATTTATTAGTGTTATCATATCAAGTTGGCGCCAGCTCTAAACCCCCTAAACCGATTCGCGAACACGCCACTGTTATGCCAAAAGAAGGTATAATACTTTATACCTGCGCGCTAACATTTAACACTTCAGCAACGCCATCTTCCTGGCTGCACTAGCTGAAAAAATATCAAATAGACCCAGCGAGTGACAAGTAAATACACATAATACATAATAAACNGAATTTCGTACCCTTCGATATCTACGGATGAAGAAGGATATCTTTGTTCTTCCGATAGCTAATGGCAACGCGACTGTCATCATGAACTCTGCATATTACAAGGCAGAAATCTCTCAACTAATTTATCTATCCCGTCGCCATCAAGAAACGAACTCGACATCCTGCACATATTATCTTCCGAAAAACCAACCAATCAATAAAAACATCCACTATTACCTCGGAGGTACAACGTGATCTATGCAAAAGCGAAGCCTGACCAAGCTCGGATACACTTACTACCAAGAATTCATGAAAACAACGAGCCACTACGAGCGATTGTGAGCGTCATCGGTTCTCCTAACTACCATATGTCCAAATAATTAACTTCGCTATTCCAAGCCTGC